AAGAAGCTCAAGTAACATGATAATAACATGTATAAATATAAGTTCGTGATACTGCGTTCAAGTTAAGTATGCAAACGAATCTCAAAAATAATACATTAAATCTTTTTTAAGATGTCATATATTCTAGCATGATTCATAACATAGTTAATTAGGTTTAATAGTAATCAAATTAAATGAAGCATAAGTTAAGGGGTCACTAAGCTCAACAAAGGCACAAAGAAGCATATAATTCCCCCTCCCGAGCATGAAAATCCTGGCACATACATGCACGCTCATCACCTCATATATGCATCACCCCCACATGTACAATCTCATTTAGTAGGAAATATTCCCTCAACAAAGATAGGCAAAACACCTACCGCATTCCGAAACACAATCAACAATCAATAATCAATCGGCATTTCCTTTAGGACAAGCCTCTAAACCAGCCGAATCTAGCCAAGTAGTGTTCAAATAATTCAAAACAAGCTTTAGAAACTACCCACGAATAAAAAATGTTCGATTTTGATCATAATTTAAAAAGTCAACCGGGGCCCATGTGGTCGAAATTCGAGATTCAGACCAAATTCCGATTACCCATTCACCCCGAGCATTGATATATAATTTATTTCGAAATTCGAACTCAAAACTCAATTTGAGTTCTACATCTCAATTTTATAAAATCCCTAAATTCTACCCAAAACTATAGGTATCAAACGAGCCGGGTTGACCCGGGACCGGCCGACCCAGACCGGTTGAAACCCTGACCGACCCAGCTCGGTACTTTGGGGGCCGAGTGGGCTGGGTTACTGGGGTTAGGGGGTTGGTCCGTTCACTTTAATTCATCAAGTTAACCGGACCGGTCAAACCCGGTCAACCAAAATTCCTGTAGAACCGGTTAACTAGCCCGGACCGGTTTAAAGGCTAGATTTTGATTTTTTTAAGGTTTTAGAGTCTAAGGTAATGCAAAACCTTTGAATTTACTCTTTTTTGTTAATTTACTTGTTGTAAGATATAAACCTTTCAATTTGTAAGTTTGAATTTTGAAATAAATATAGCACTTGCAATTTATAAGTGCAATTTTTTATCTTCATTGTATTCTTTATATTTTTACTTTATATTAATATACATTACAATAGTTATACAAAATTAAAAAAAATACTAACCCGGCCCGACCCGGCCCCTTGGACCCGTAACCCTTACGATTCATTTTTAACCCGGATAAACCCGAATCCACTAACCCGTAACCGGCCCGGTTCGAAACCTGGACGGTTTTAACTTTTCCCTACCCAGCCCGGCCCGGCCCACCCGTTAGACACCCTTACCCAAAACCCCCAATTTCTACTTTGAATTCATAGATTTGATGTTAAAATTCATGTAAGAGCAGTTGAAATTGGTTGAAAACTAGTTAAAGATGTTTACTAATAAATTTGGGAAGAAAATCCTCCTTAACAATCGCCTATATGGAGTTTAGGGTTGAAAAATAGTGTAAAATGAGCTAAGTCACGATATCCCCACCTTTTACCCAGAGTTCGCAATTGCGACCATCGCAAAAGTGAACCACTAATTGCAAATGCGATCAGTGTCCTAACTACTCTGTTATCACAATTGCTATAAAATAGTCACTTTTGCGAAGAGCCCCATATCGCAAAACCGAGCTGCCTTCGCTTTTGCGAAGGCTGCCCAGCCCAGCTTGAGTTGCAAATGTGATGCCTTCTAGCTTGCAGATGTAGCTAGTGAATTCACAATTGCGAAGTCCCCAACGATGCCCAATATCACAAATGCAATCTTGACATCGGAAATGCGAGGATCGCATTTGCGAGTAGGTTCTTGCAATTGCGAGACCTACAGTTCAGCAACACCAGAAAATGCCTTCAGCTATCAAAACCCTGTGCTACCCATCCAAAATTCACTCGAGCCTCTTGGGCTCTAATCCAATGTCACGACCCAAACCAATGGGCCGCGACGAGTGCCTGAGTCCTACCTGTCAAACACCCCTAAGCATGCGTCTAAGATATGAATTTGAATAACATCTGCTGCATTACAAAAATAAATTACATGAAGGAAACATGTCATCAAGGCATATGTACGTATACATGTAAAATACACTGGGCAAGCCGTNAGCAGCTCCGGATCAAATGGAGCATGCCAACTCTCGCTGATCAGGGATCCTAAGAAGAGGGACCATCAGCTTGCCTACCTGCACCTGCGGGCATGAAACACATGCCCCGTGAAATAGGCATCAATACGGAAAATGTACTGAGTATGTAAGGCATGAAAATTAGTACGGAAAAGACACTGGAATAAAGAAACACATCTTTAAATCTGAATAAATTTGTAAATCCTGAAACGTTTATAATGTCATGCACACGTATATAAATGTCGTGTCATGCATAGGTATGAGTGTACATAATATCATCAAGCCACTAAGGGCATCCCATCATATCATCTCGGCCACTGTGGGCAACATCATCAATATATAGCAGTTGATCAAGTGGTGATGCGTATATAACGCCGTAACCTTTTCCCATATCCCATATACATGTATTTACATATATACGCGTATATAACGCCATCAGGTCATGAGTCAATGCACATGTATGAAATGCATGAAAAATACGTAATAATCTTAATATTCCTTCCGGATAAATTTTTTTCCATCTGCGTATTATTCTGAGACCCCTGAATAGAAAATAATAATAATTTTCATGGGAATCAAGAATATAGACACCGCTAATAATTCTATGAATAGAGTAATTTATGGAAACTATGTGTTTGCTCGTTTCTTCAGTATAATTTGGACCATGCCAAAAGAAAGAAGGGAGAGCCTTAACATACCTGTTTCTGGAATTATTTGAACGAATCTACTTCTGCGAAATTTATACTGGATTTTTTTGAAATTGGAACGAACTTGTTATGCTTGAGTGTTTGTTTGCACTAGAGAACTTGTTATGCTTGAGTGTTTGTTTGCACTAGAGAATGGATTTAAATTTTAAGCTTGATCCAATGTTTTTTTGAAGCTTCTGTTTCCAACGTTTTTGATTCAAATCAAGGAATGAATTGAAGCTTGGTTAAAGATTCTGTTTCTCGTTTTTTCTACTTTCAGAAAGGATCCAATGGATCTTAAATGTTATATCAAGTTCAAGACTTATCTTAAGTCAATCAAATCTTACTAAATGACTCATTCAACTTTACACGTTACTTTGTCATGCAACACATATGACTATGAGTCATATGTTGAATGGTGGCACACTGCCACGTGGGAGTACGGTGAGTTATTTTATTAATTTTTTTATCCACTTATTAGTTAATCGGGTAATGTCCTATTACCCGATAATTAAATAATTTCCCGCATAATTTAATAAATTATCACAAATCACTTAAAATTTTACTTATTTTTAAAATACTTCATATATACTTTATATATTATACTACCGTGATCGTATGGTACATTGCATGATACTAGTTCATAATTATCGGGGTATTATCGCTCGACCCGTATTTTATTCTAAATTGGCCACTTTCAACGAAATTCGTTTTCCTTAATCTGTGTACCCTCTTATCCTTCATAACACTTATTTATCGCTTGCTATAAATAGCGTAAGTATGTTAACATCAAGATGATCTCATCCCCGAGTCTACGTCAATTGACCGAAAACGAAATTTTTAACGTACGAAAACGCGATGTAACATCTGAACATTCACACAAATGTAATAATATCATACAAACTCGCTCGCTATCTAAATCATCAAAATAACATCAAATATCAAGAATCTCTCGTCAAAATACAAGAATTTCAACTTAAAAACTTAGTTTTCCAACTTTTCAAATAATGCGCCAAAATGCACTCGAGCCACTATGAACCCCAACCAAACATATGTACAAGTCCAGAATCATCATACGAACCTATTGGAGTTGTCAAAATACCGAGATGATATATTTTACTAAAAACATTGACTGTGGCCATATTTTTAAAGTAAAAAAAATCACATTTTATTTAAAAATTCACATTTAATTTTTTTCTGAATATAGTCTCGGACCACAAACGCAAGTCATAAATCATCAGTTAGAGCTATAAAAAGTTTTAGAACACAGAAAGCAAAGGTAGTACTCAAAATGACCGATCAGGTCGATACAAAGTCACAATACTTTCTCTTTAATATTATTTGTGCACGATTATTTGCTTAATTATTCTCTCAGCTCTACTTCAATCACATTTATATCAACGAATATTGGTTTAATTCAGTTGTTTATGTTCTAAAATATAAATTCAATTGCTTAGCCTTCAAACGAATTTAGGTTAAACAAATATGAGGATTAAAACACCTATTCTTTTGGCTTGGGCATAGTTTTTTTTTAAATTTTTTTTATGTTTTTGAAAATTATCCGAAAAGTACTACTCTTTATGTTGTAATTTATATATCATACTTTCCTTTTTAGTTTGTCATAGAAAGAATGCCACACTTTCATATTTAGAAATAATTTATTTTTAAAACTTCCTACATTATCTTTAAGTACAAGACAATTTATAGGTACTTAAATATTTGTGGCTTATGTTATGTTACAAGTTTGAATTTTTTTTTTTCTTTCTTAAACTCTGTGCCGAGCAAACATGGTCATATGAATTGGATTGAAGGGAGTATTATATAAGTCAAAATATTTAAAAATTAAAATATTTAAAAAGATTAGTGATTATTTGACAAATAGTAATACCTTTGCATAAACTAGAATGGAGTGAGTGACAAAATAGCAGTATATTTAAAATTTAGATCTCTTATGCTAAAAATCCAAGCTATTAATTTAGAAGAAAATAATAAATCCAAATCAAATAAGGCTGGAAAAAGAAGAAGAAAACAGGGAATAGGCAGAACCGCAGAAATAATCCTTGTACAGTCACATGCTATCTATAATTAAACTGATTATCTTTGCTTTCTTGTATTAGTAATTACTGCTCCTTCAACTGCAATTTCTTGTTATTTTTCTAACATAATTAACATTTGGAAAACTCAATTTATCAATATGTTTTAAAAATCGAACTCGTAATATTACGGATATGAATTGAATAAGTATCTTACAATCGCTCAAAATGTAAATCCTTGTCCACAAACTTATGTGATCAATTTTTCCTGCTCTGTTTCAGCTAATCTCTGTTTCTCAAAAAAGATTTGATTCTTCTTTATGAACGCTTCAATAGTAAGCTTAAATTCTTCGTTGCTAAGTGTGTCTACCGCCGCCATGTCTGTCTGGGAACGACGGAGCTTTTTTGGAGGAATCTCTTGCTTCAAATCCTCCGATTTAGTCCTTTGAAGTATCTGTATATTCTTCGTTGTTACATCTATTGTCGTCTCTGCGGCGTTGCTTTGCACCTTATCAATCTGCTTACTTTCATCTCCGGCGAAATTAGGCTCCGCAATCCCCGACGGCGAAGAAGTTGCCACATCGCCGTCACAGGTAGTGAGGATCGGTAGTTGAACTTCACGGGAGCGGACATCATCACGGTGGATACCGCCAGTGACGGAGTGGTTATCGGCTTCTGTTCGACGGCAGAGCAATAAGACAGAGACTATAATTGTGTTGCCAATGAGAAAAACGACATGAGGATTGAATATATAAACTGAGAGTTCGAGCAATAAGTCGCCGGAGAATTTAACGGCGGCCGGGAGATATGTCCAGGACCAGGAAATAAACATGAACGCCATTGCTCTGGCTTTCTCATATTTCACGTTGTCAAACACTTCATGATCCATTAATTTTCACTTTCTAACACCCGATCAGTTGGGTTCACGAGAAAATGGATTGTTAGAAGTTATTTGAATTAATGAGAACTGACACAGAAACAACGAAAGAGTGATTTTCGAGCAGCTAGAGAATAGTGTTCGCGTACTGTTTCGAAGGTATATGTATAAGGAGGAAGGTTACGAAAATATACACACTCGAAGGACGCAATGAAAGAGAAGTGAGGCACGAATTCTTAGAATCAAGGTTTGAGGTTTAAATTCAATAGATGAGATGATGGAGGCTTCTGATAGAATTAATGTATGTAAAGAGGGAGGGAATACTCCTTTTATAGGCGTAGGCCTCAGGGGATAACTTCATTTTTCTTTGCTAAAAGGAATTCTGTGGGAATGATATAAGGGTTTTAAATAATGGAAATTATGAGTAACTTATTTAATTATTATGAACAGTGTGAAAAGAGTAGGAATTGGTCCCCTCATGGGATAGCATAAGTAGAGCCACAAATTTGAATTTCAGTAGTTTCTAAACTGGAGCACACCTACACCCTCACTAGTTACATGCGCACCCTTACCTTGAACTCTCTCCCAATATATAACATAATTGATCTATGTACAAGTTATATTGGAACTATAATGTGAGTTGTTAATTTGGTATAAGAGTAATATCAATCTTGTAGTGTAAATTGTTTCCCCTCAAAATCGGATAACAATTGAATTTATAAGTAGTTTTAAAGATACGTGGATTGAATTGATACAAAGTGATAAATTAAATTGCAATTGAAATAAAGTTTGATAAAGTAAATGCAAACCGCGCGAATTGAACAGTTGCATCCTTAGGAGGTGAGCCACCCTTGGACAAAAAGCACTTCGATCACCGTCAAGACATAATTGAATAAGAACTTTAGAAAAAAATAACAGTATTAATTATTAGTACAGTGGCGTACGCAGGATTTTTCATAAGCGGTGTCACTATTTCTAGCAATAAGCGTAATAGCCAAAAAAATATTTTGTGGACCCAAGGGAGTTCGAAATCAAGACCTCTTATATCAAACTTGAAGCTGTCAACCACTAGAATACTGAGCTATTTCGATGCAANATATATATATGTAGTGAAATTTTTTGACGAAGCGGTGTCACGTAGCACCGCTTGGGTCAATGTAAATCCGCCCCTGGTTGTTACAACATGCTTTACAAGTAATCAGACCCATTTATATAGTAGGGAAGTCCTATTTTAGGTACAATTCTATATAAGGTGAAAATCTCCTGATTTGCTAACTTGCAGGTTGCTTATTGACACGTGCCGAGATTCCTGCCGCAATACCTGACCGATCACGGATATTCCGGCCTTCTGTTATTTCGATCTTTTGTCTGTCAATGTTTCCTCAAGGTCGATTCTATGAGCATGGACTCAATGTTCTCGAAGAAGGATATTCTGACCTCGTATTCCGAGCCTGGTCTATTATGTAGTAGACAAGCCTAGTTTTGACCATATACAGATAATCCCCTCATTTTTCGGAGAGTAAACAACGAGAAACGATATGAGCTCTTGATTCTCACCTCGATACTCCGCGTCAGAAATGACAAAATGAATGAAACGTCTCGTTAGTTAATTCTTAATGGCATTAAATGCTTTTCAGTTGCTGGTCAGCCATTTCTGGATTTGAACCATGGTTTGAAAACTATAAATACCCCTTCCTTATCCATTCAAACTTTACTTCCAAACTTTCTCTCTTTGTTTCTCAGAAATTTCTCCATTTTCTAGCGCTTGTATCCTCTTTTCTTGAGATCTTTGTATGAACTTTTGCTTGTCTTCATTCCAAATCATCAAGTGTATCCCTTTAATTTCCTCTTTTCATCTTTTTCCCTCAATTTAAAAGAAATGGGGAAAACATCGAAAATAGTTCCCCAAAAAGAAACTACTTTTTCATCACAGGCGGCTGGCGAGGAACCAGCGGCGGAACCTCTTCTGAGCATGTTCATTCCTGGAGAGTGCTTGTTAACCGCTGTTTTTAAGGTTGAAAAAATCTTCACCCGCACCGAGCTGGGGTGAGAAGGTCTCGAGGTTTATCTGCTCGATCACTGAAGAAATTCTCCCCACGATTAAAGAGGATTGCAACTAGTTCATCAAAGACGTGGTGGTTCCTGGGCCCGATGAAGACATCACTACCCACGTCGAGGGATACTTAAGTGTTTACACTGGGCCTATTTGACCTGGTAATCATCCATTTCTGCAAAAGGTACGAGGTGTGCATCAGCCAGATTCACCTTTCGCTCTGGAGAATCGTCATCCTTCTCCGGTTCTTTGTGAGCAAGATCGACGGTTGTTCGTTGTTATGCCCGCAGTATTACGTCGATGTTATGCTCTACAGTAATATCTTACGATAATATTACCCTCTACAGTAATATATTACGATGATGTTACGTCCTGCAGTATTAAGTTACGACAGTGTTGCACCCAGTAGTATTATATTACGGTGATGTTACGCTTCGCAGTATTAAGTTACGACAGTGTTGCACCCAGTAGTATTACATTTCAGTGATGTTACACTTTGCAGTATTAAGTTACGATGATGTTGCACCCTGAAGTATTGTACGTTAAATTTGTCGTAAGGTAATTGACATCAGTCCAAGCAAAAGATTATGTGGAAGTTATAAGGATTATGCTATTTTATAGGTGATGAGTAAATTCGTGAAGGTGAAAGGGGAAGTAAGTCAAAGAAAATGAATGTTCGTCCAAGTTTGGCATTTGGGATAAAATACGGGTCAAGCGATAATACCCGATAATTATGAACTAATACCATGTAAGATACCATATGACCACGATAGTATAATGTATAACAAGTACATTAAAAATAAGTAAATTTTAAGTAATTTGGGGCAATTTTTAAATTATGTGGGTAATTGGTTAATTATCGGGTAACGAAACAATACCTAGTTAACTAATAAGTGGGTAAAGATTACTAATCTCTACCCCACTCGCCACGTGGCAGTAGGCCACCATTCAAACCTATGACTGATTAGTCATATGTGCTTAGTGGCTAAAAACGTGTAAGCCACTAAAGAGTTATAAGAAAGGCTTGGTCATTCTTGGTCTTTCAAAAAGCTTAGATCATTTTAGTCAAAATGAAATTTAACTCTTTCACCTAAAATTCAATTCTCCAACCAGAACACTAGTCACTTAACAATATGAAGATTTCATTCTTCAAAAATGTGAGGTTACATTATTCAATAGTGTGAACTTTCAAGAATTCAGTAACATACAATTTCATGGATTTTCCCCTACTTGTCGTTACGTGTTGTCGCAATCAATGGGTGTTAAAGGAATTTTCAGGAGAATCGGTTCAGGTATATTAAGGCTATCCCTTTTTTCTTTTGGCATGGTCTATACGACACAAACGAAACGTGCAAATGCACAAATTTCATAAATGACTCTATTCATAGAAGTATTAGAGATATCTATGTTCTTGAATTTCCGTGTGTCATAATATTTTATCATTTGTTCATGGGTCTCAGAAAAATATGAAAGTTGAAAAGAGTTTACTTTATGATATTACTCAAAGGCAAAATGGTCTTATGACATTCCAAAAGATTTTATTAACGTACTTTTCATGCATTGCATTAATGTACATTGACCCATGACATTATATACGTGTATATATCTATGTATATATACGTATATATGATATGGGAAAGGTTATAGCATTATATATGCACCACCACCTAATCAGCTAGTATACGTTGATGATTTTAATCACAGTGGCCGAGATGATATGATGGGATGCCCTCAGAGGCTGATAATGTTATGAAACATGTACCTATGTATGACATGGCATTCATACGCATATGCATGACACTATAAGTATTTTATGATTTACAAAGTTTTCCAGACTTACAGGTTGAGTCAATTACTCTATATTTCATCCATGTCTGTTATGTACTTATTTATGTGCCTTACATACTCGGTACGTTATTCGTACTGACATCCCTTTTGCTTGGGGATGCTGCATTTCATGCCCGTAGGTCCCGATAGACAGGTCGAGAGCCCTCCAAGTAGGCTATCAGCTTGGCGGAAGATGTTGGTGCGCTCCATTTTCTTCGGAGTTGCTTATTTGGTTAGTATGATTTAGACGTGTATTGTTTGGTATGGCAGGACTCTGTCCCGACCTTTATGAAAATTTTGTATTCTTAGAGGCTTGTAGACAGATGTCATGTATGTAAGATATTGTATGGCCTTGTCGGCCTATATTCAGGGTACGATTGGTTATTTTGGGCTTATAGGCCCGTATGTCTTATGTATAGATTGGTATTACATGTTGTATTCTACCTATTCTACGGCTCAGTTATTTATGATTGTATGACATGAAAAGATACGTTATGTTGGCAGTCGGTTGAGTAAGGTACCGGGTGCCCATTGCGGTCCAACGATTTGGGTCGTGACAAAAGTGGTATCAGAGCAGTTCTGTCCTAGGGAGTCTACAAGTCGTGTCTAGTAGAGTCTTGTTTATAGGTGTGTCGTGCACCACACTTATAAGCAAGAGGCTACTGGGCATTTAGGACTATTACTCTTTCTTCTTACTCTAGATCGTGTGGTAGATCTCATTTATAAGAATTCAAGTCCCGAACTTCTATTCGTAATAAGACGATGCATACATTCAGAAAGACGATCGATAAGAGATATAGTCGTGGAATTGTTGATTTAAAGGAACTAGATTTTGCATCTTGCTTATGATAAGTGAATATGAGGTTTTTAGCATATCATGAGTGCATTGAAAGGTGTAAGCTCCCTGATAAGAAACCTTAAGGAAAGAATGCCTATCCATATTTATGGTGAAAGATAACGAGAGATTTAGAGGATAAATACAAGTTTCAACAAGCAAAGGAAGCAAGATGAAGAAAGGTACGAGGAACCCAGTTAATGAAGATTATCAGTATTACAGTTCTGACAGAAAAATATAAGCATTGTGACTTACCCTCAATAGTAACAGAGGTATGTATAATTGGCCACACCCATCTCAGTTATACCATATTGGTAGCTAAAAGGTGTAGATTAATAAGAGGACGGGATATCACGATCCGGATGGGGTTAGAGTGGCCCAAAATAGTGAATGGATTGTTTGCTTTAGTTGACATTTCTGAAGGATATTGCAAATGCGCTAATAGATCTCCTCTGAGACACCTAGATGGTGCACCCTAAAATATTAAAGCTAAATATTAGCACTGAAAGCCTTGAAGGAATAAATATTACCTTAGTGTGGCTCTCGTCCCCAGTAAAAAAAAATGTTAGGCAGTTGAAAGAGCCAAGGGATGGAGCAAGGGGAGCTAAAAGCAAAAGAATGTTTTGTTCGAGTTTTTAGAGTAAAGCAGTAGAC